GTAGGGAAATTTATTAAAAACTCCAAATTTAATCTTGTCCGAATTTCATTCCATGTCCCGTTCTTGCGTCAGATGCTTATCATATATGTTCTTGCATGTGGAATTCTCGTGTAACGTACCCAAAATAAAAATACAAACATAGGAAAATTAACGAAGAAAAAACAAAGTTTTGTTTCTCATTTGGAACAACAACATATATACAGTAGTGTTTCGTATCTTTCCCATTGTCACGGGATTGTTACGATTTCATCGAAAGTAACTTTGATGTACGGATTCGACACATAACATGTTTGCATCGCTCTTTTCTTCTCGGTGGATCTCGAGATTCGTATTGCTTGGGAACCGAGAAAATGGTGAATCTCGGACATCGGCTGAGAAGAATCTTCTGCAACTTGCAAATGCAAATCTCTTCTCTTGTTTGTAGTCGTACCGATCTTCTCTTCTCGTTTCAAATCAAGAACCTGTCCGTAGCTTTCGATAGAACCCGCATCCTGGCTGCTTCTTCTATCGGACAACCTTGTCAAAATTTTTGTAAGAAGATTCATAGGGAGATTTCCAGTCAGTTCGTTGAGATGGAAACCATTTGAAACTGGAATCTTTATAATAAATAAATAACTGTTATTAAATTAAAATATAAGATGTTGGTCTTACCTCAAGATTCTCTATCCAACCGGTCCGTCTTTGGACAATAGAATTTATCTATTTGTCCTTTGCCTTTCACAGCTGCATATATTCAAAACAAAATGCAAATTATTTTCCATTAAATTGTAAATTATACGAGTATTTGTATTATTATTCTAATAAAAGAAAAAAAATCCCACCTTAGGAGTTTCATTTGGTAAATTATTGAACCCACGAAATGGATATTATGTGTGCAAATGATCGCCATGCAGATAGGAGTCTTTTCTCTCCATTTTACAAAAGAAAATAAATACATTGGAATTTTGATTGGGAGATATGATACTACAAGTTTAACTTTCGGGTGTATTTATGCACAAAATAATGAAAGCATCTGTGTTTTTCAAAGATACGAAATTTAATGTGGTATCCTAATAAAGATTTCTTTTTGAGAAAAATATCAAATAATAATGGTATGGAATCAAACCTTATTAAGAAATAGTTTAATTATAACATATATGCATATAGTAAAGTAAGAAAAAAATGCACTTTAAAAAGAAGGTTTTTTATATTTTAAAAATATTTACTGAAAAAGGAGATTGGAATTTTGATTGGGAGATATGATACTAAAAAAGTTTACCTATAAGCATATTTGTACACAAACAAATAAAAACCTTTGTGATTTTCGAATATACGAATTTAATGAGAGATCACAATAAAGATTTTGTTTTCAAGGAAAGATATCAAATAATAATGGTAGGAATCAAAACATTTCAAGAAAAAGCTAAATTATAACATATGATTACTTCATGGATGAATAAGATTATTTTGGACAATTTTTCGGAAGAAGATATATATTGCAAAGGGTGAATGAAAAAGTAAGCTAGACAAATAAGTTTTTTTAATTATATTTTAAAATATTTGCTAAAAAATAAATTGGAATTTGATTGGGAGATAATATATATGATAGTATAAAAGATACCTTATAAATAATTTATACACAAACTAATGAAAATCATTGTGATTTTCAAATAGAAATCTTTGCTGTTTTCAATTCTCTTCTATTTGTAATTTTTGTGTTGGGCAGATCAGTTAAATATTTGTTAAAAGTAATTTATTATTATATAAACTATAATAAAGTTGAATACTTGGTCAAAATAAATTGAATAAAACGAATGATATATGATTGTAATCCAAAGCGAATTTTATTTAAAAACGACTGGATATTATTTTTTATAGAAATAATTAATCGAATTCAAAATTAACTATGAACATAAAAATAGAATTATTTTTAAAATATATATTATTAGTTTTTGAATCAAGTGAAAATCCAATATAAAAACGAATAAATATAATATTTTCGAAATAAATATCTTAAATTAAAGAATAATTAAACCGAGATATAAAATTCCTCCTTGTTGGAGAAAATAAAATGAAATTGTACTATGAATAATCAGGAAGACAATTTAGGTTCTTTAGGTTTCGGTTGGGTGAAAAGAACGTATGAACTAATTGATAATTCGTAAAGTGGCTACCAAGCTTTCTGATTTACTTATATTTGTTTAGTTACTGCGACCAGAAGGAAGTGTTATTTTTTTCATTATTAAAATAAATAAAATGGATGAATAATTTGAAATATCATTTCAAGTTCCAACAGCGAATATTTCTAATTTCAGTGATATTGTTTGCCACTGGATCGCCATATTATAATTGTATGTCACAAATATCTATCCGACAAAAAGAAATATTATAGTTTTTTTATGAAAGGGCGAAAAATATAAACTTGCATTTATATTTTTAAGAGATGTTATACCAAAAGGTTGTGTTTGATCAACATTATGATTTAAAATTAGATGGTTCAACCGATAAAAAAAAAATTATTTTTAATTAAAATTCAAATCTCTGTTTAGATAAGGATATTCACCTATATTTTTCTTCGATCTATTGAAAATTAAATGAAAAACCCAATGAATTGTCAAATTATAAAAAATTTGAATGTATGAGAGTCGATTTTGGTAAATATTCTCTAATCAATATAATATATTATTCAAATTTGAATTTGGATGTCGCTTGTTACTCCCCCGATTTAAAAAAAATTATAAAAAAAATGTTTGTGTATCCTATTTTGTGGTATGTATTTTTTTTAAAGAAAAGGTTGATCAATTATAAATTTGACTTGTCAAGAAAATAAAAAACAGAGGCAACCATTATTATGAATTTCAGAGAGCTTTGCTTATGTTCAAAGGAGAATAGGGTTGGTTGGTGCATGATTTCACGCCGCGGGGGAGCGCGTGAATCAACGCGCTAAATGTGCGCGTCGTCGTCCTGCGCATGCGTTGGGTGTAAGGTTCGCTGTCCCTCTCGGTCGGTCGGTGCGTGCGGTCGGACGTCCCCCGCACCCCCACTGGGCTTGGTAAAAAAAAAAAAAATCATATTTACGGTCATCGTTTTTAACTTTTTTATCCAGCGAGTAACTAAAAATATCCAAATATTTATAAGATATAAGTGTGGGATGCCCCAAGCTGTTCAAATTCGAACCTCTAAGATTCTAAAATCCAAATTATTAAAATGAAAATCTTAAAATTCTAGAACTCTAAAATTCAAATTGGTAAAATGAAAATCTAGAGTACGCGTGTCCAATCTTAATAGTCCAACCATTTTTTATCTTTGCATCAGTAATACATTGACTTCCAATGTCTACTTTTAATTGAAAAAAAACTATGTTTTATAAAATTTGAAAACCACTATACAATTATACGAGTCTCTAATTTGAACCTTTAGATAATTTTATACCGTGGCTGCCAAATTATTCTACGTAGATCGAATGTGAATAATTTTTCCATATATATCCAACACAAAATTGAAATGCATATTTTTTTTTTAACCCATTTGAATATTTAGCATTGAAATGAAATCTCCACATTTACCTTGGTTCCAGTTTGAAATATTTTATTACGCAAAAAAAAAAAAAAAAACTTCAACTTCACTTAAAAATCACCAACTATTCGAACAAAAAAAACTATATAATATATAACCATTTTAACCACAACTTATATTACTCCACAATCTCTCCCTCTCTCTCTCTCTCTCTCTCTCTCTCTGTCTCTCTCTCTCTCTCACACCACATCATGACGGACGACAGAGTATACCCTGCATCCAGACCTCCGACCACCGCCGCGAACCCAACATTTCCGGCGACGAAAGCTCAGCTCTATAACGCCAACCGTCCCGCCTACCGTCCTCCGCCGCCGGGACGTGGCCGCCGCCACAGCCGCGGCCGCGCCCGTGGTTTGC